GATATTGCCTCTCTTGTAGGCTGCACCAACTTACACCCTGTACCAGTTTCCTAGGGCTGGTATAACAAAATGCCACACTCCAGGTGGCGTCAAACAACAGAAAAGTATTCATTCATTCTTCTGGGGGCTGGAAGTCTGAAATCAAGTTGTTGGCCGGGCCTTGCCCCACTTGAAGACCCTAAGGGAGGATCCTTCCTTACTTCCTCCAGCTTCCGGCCATGTAGGCAACCAGCCAATGGTGTCCCTTGGCTTGCAGATGCCTCACTCCAGTCTCTGCCTGTCTTCATGCAGCCATGTCCCCTCTGTCCGTGTCTGTGTACCAATTTCCCTCTTCTCATTTTCTTTCTAGTAAGTACATAAACCAGTAACGTCGTTGTTTATTATCATTGTCAAGTACTGTGTACTGTACATAACTGTATGTGTTATACTTTGATACTCCTGGCAGTGCCCTGGGTTTGTCTACACCAGCATCACCTGACACACATGTCAGTAATGTGTTGCATTATAGTTCTATGATGGCTAGGATGTCACTAGGCAATAGGAATTTTTCAACTCCATTATAATTTTATGGCACCACCACTGTATTAATATATACCTGTCAAATCTCCATCTTCCAATAAGGATGCCAGTCATTGGATTAGGGCCCACCCTAACCCAACATGACCTCATCTTAACTTATTATATCTGCAAAACCCCATTTGCAAATAAGGTCACCTTGATAGGTTCTAGGTAATTATGAACTTCTTCTCTTTTTTTTGAGACCGAGTCTCACTCTGTTGGCATTATTGGGAATTAATTTTGGTTGCTGGATTCTGCTTCTCTGAAGTGGGATGCTCTGTGGGGACGGGGCTGTGTGGAGCCCTGGGATTTGGTGGGTTACTGACAAGGTTGGCTTCTCAGGTGGCAGCTAGGAAAGAAAGCTGATGTGCCATAGACATTCTGGGTTGGGTGTCTCCCTCAGTCTCCTGAGCCATCCGCCCCATGTGAAATTCTGTTCTTGGGCCTGCTCAGCCAGGGTACCAAACCAGAGTGTTCAGGTCGGAGGTCACACTTGGCTGCTCATGGATTGAAATTGCCCGGGAAATGCTTTGTCTTGCACAATTCTTAGTCAAATTTTGAGTCAGATACTAACTTTCCTTTTTGGTTTGTTTGTTTTTTGAAACAGAGTCTCACTCTGTTGCCCTGGGTTAGAGTGTTGTGGCATCATAGTTCACAGCAACCTCAGACTCTTGGGCTTGAGCAATCCTCTTGCCTCAGCCTCTCAAATATCTGGAACTACAAGCATGCATCACTAAGCCCAGCTAGTTTCTCTATTTTTAGTAGAGACAGGGTATCACTCTTGTTCAGGCTGGTCTTGAACTCCTGAGCTTACGCAATCCACCCACCTCAGCCTCCCAGAGTACTAGGATTACAGGCATGAGCCACCATGCCCGATCCCCCAAATACTAATATTTTAAAACATAAATTTCACATAAGAATCTGGATTCCTAATTCCTCTAGACAAAAATCTGTTAACACTGTGTTTATGTTTCTACATGGCAACAAACAGTGGGGTACACTTGTTTGCATTTCATGTTGTATCTCCAGCTCTGGCCTTCAAACTTAGGGGAGTGGAGTGTTGAGACCTGGGCTATGACCCCTGAAGCCCCACTGCCTATGTATGAGTCCCAGCTCTGCTACTTACTAGCTATGTGTTCTTGGGCAGATTGTTTAAAGCCTCAGGGTCCTTATCTGTAGAACTAAGACTGATTTATTTAACAAATTTTTATTTTTGTATCTTACTATGTTCCAGGCACTGTTCTAGGCACTCAGGATATGTCAGTAAGCAAAGCAGATAAAAATCCTCCCTCTTGTGGAGGAAGGATTCCTTCTGTGTGGTTGTGGTAGACAGGTAACAAATAATGAAGCAAGTAGGTAAATTACACAGTATATTGAAAAGTGATTAATTCTGTGGAAAGCAAAAAATAAAGTCCAATGTGCACAGGGAACAGAGAAATGGGTGTATGGTAGCATTTTTTTCTTTGTTTTTTTCTGAGACAGGGTCTTGTTCTGTCATTCTGGGTAGATTGCCATGGTGTCATCACAGCTCACAGCAACCTCAAACTCCTGGGCTCAAGTGATCCTCTGCCTCAGCCTCCAAAGTAGCTGGGACTACACACCCAACTATTTTTTTTTTCTATTTTTAGTAAAGACACAGTCTCAATCTTGCTTTCTTGAGCCCAAAGGATCCTCCCATCTTGGCCTCCCAGAGTGCCAGGGTTACAGTTGTGAGCTACCTTACCGGCCCACCTTTTAAAAATAGATTGCTCAGGGAAGGCCTCACTAAGAAGGCAATGTTTGAGCAAAGACTTGAGCAAGCTAGGGAAATGACCTTATGGCTAGCTGGGCAGTTTGGCACACTAAGAGGGGGACAGCTAGGCAAAGGCTTGAGTCGAGCCACTGGAGCCCACTCTGGATGGAGAGAAAATAGGAGCAGGCAGAGTGGTGTGAGCTGAGGTTACTGAGGAAGGGGAGCATCAGTAAATTGTGTAGAGCCTTGTAGGCCACAGGGAGAGTTAGGTGGGAGCCATGGAAGGATTCCAAGCAGAGGTGGAACATGACTTAACTTTGTTCCAACAGGTCTGTCCAGCCGCTCTGTAGGGATTAGTCTTGGGAATTGGAGTGAGTACAGACATCAGAAGCCAGGAAACCAGGGTGAAACTGCTGTAATAATCCAGATGGTAGGTGAAGGTGGCTTAGACCAGGGAGCTAGACATGGCAGTAGAGAGGTGGCTGGGTACAGGATGTTTCCAAGGTTGAGTAGTCAGGACTTGCTGATGGGTTAGACTCAGGGTGTGAGGAAAAAGAGGAGTTAAGGATGACTCCAGGGTTTTGGCTGGAGCAGCCGACAGGATGGAGCTGCTAGTCGCTAAGATAGTAAGGGCGGGTTTGGGAGGGGTAATAAGGAGAACAGGTCGGGAGAGTTGACAGTCAACATCCGGGTGAATGCAGATGGAAATGCAAGTCTGGAGTTTAGGAACCAGGTGTGGGAATGAGAGTCCCCACTTCATACGCTGTCAGAGATTAAATGAATTCCTGTCTGCAAGGCACTGAGAACAGGGCCTGGCCCCTGGAAAAGATCCCGCCCTTGGCTCTAGCCCTCACATTCTTCTCAGGGATGGGGGCAGTAAATTCTCAGGATAGCTGAGGAATATGCTTCTTACCCAGGGGCACTCTCAAGCAATGGACAGATCTGCCTAGCATTGAAATCCACTCCGGGGAAGTCTTAGAGAGAGGACTTCACCCCACTGGCCATTCGTGATTGCACCTGTAAAATGAAGACAATACTCTCTCTCAAAGGGCTATGCTCAGGAGCAAATGAGAAATAATGGGTTTAAGCGACCAGCACAGAGTAGGTGCTCTTAATCTTTTTTTTCCTCCTTCCTCAGGTCTCCGTAGTCAGGGAGAAAAGGAAGCAAAGTCAACATCCATCCCAGCTGTTTATTGAAGGGAAGGTGGGATGGTGGAGTGCAGGATGATGAGGGGGCTTGGGACCCAAGAACGGAAAGTCCAGCTGAGGACCCTCCCTGAACTCCCCAGGCTGGACCAGACTGAGGGGAGGGGCGGGCCAGAGCCTTCTCTCCAGTTGCCCTTGGACGAGACTGGAGGGAGGGGCGGACAGGAGCCTGGGGCTTCTCTCCAGCTGCCATGGAGCTCCCCCTACTGGTATAGAGAAGAGATGACACCTCTGGCTGAAACCTGGCTGGGTGCTTGCAGGAGGGAGGGGCGAGCGCCCGCTCTCCTCCCCAGGGCACATTTGTTATCAGGTCAGGATCGAAATTAGGGTTTGGAGCTGTTGGTTTCGAAATATTTTTTTTAAGAGACAGAGTCTCACTTTGTCGCCTTTGGTAGAATGCCATGGTGTTACAGCTCACAGCAACCTCCAGCTCTTGGGCTTAGGCAATTCTCTTGCCTCAGCCTCCCGAGTAGCTGGGACTACAGGCATCCGCCACAATGCCCGGCTATTTTTTGTTGCAGTTTGGCCGGGGCCAGGTTCCAACGCGCCACCCTCAGTATATGGGGCCGGCACCCTACCCACTGAGCCACAGGCGCCGCCCAAGATAGGCAGACCATGCAGGACAACGACATCCCACTTCTCCTGCCCTTTGACTCTTAGAGACCATTTAAATCCAGATCCAAAGCATCTTTGGAGCCACGTGGGGTCATCAGGCCTCCAGTTACTCTCTCTGGGACAAATCTGTCTTCCACCTTGGGTATCTCCTGGGAGCCAGGAAGGTGTAGGGTTCTGTTCTAGCACATAACTAGAACTGACCCCGGAGGGGCCTTACGCAGTGAGTTCCAGCTCCCTCAGACCACTTTACTGTGTAATCTTGGACACATCACTCTTGCCTTCCTCACCCATCTCTAAGCTGGACTGAATAATTGCCCTTGGTGGTGGACTGTGGGGCTCTGAAGCCAAAACTCAGGTAGGAAGCATACTGTGAAGGCTGGCACCACCCTGGACACAGTCTGGGTGATTCACCCTGAGAAGAATGACCCCTTTACCCTGCCCCCACCTGTCTTTGGAGGGTGGTGCTTACATCCCACGGGACTAGGAACATTACAGAACTCCAGAATCTCATCCAAACCCGTAGCAGCAGAGAGGCAGAAACTTATGGCTGGAAAAGACAAGGGGCTTGCCCAAGGCCACACAGAGGAGAGTGGGGATGGGTTGAGGAAGGTGCCTACTACCCCTGAAGGGCCTCCGGAAGGAGAAACAGATAGGAAGTCTCGGGGGTACTTGAGGAAGGCTGGCATTTTGGATGAGTTGGGGTCCTACCCCTAGGGAGGGGATGTAAGCGTCAGACTTGATTTGGAGGTGGACCTTCTGGGAGCTTGAGTACACAGTAGGGCCCTTGCTGAAAGGGAGTAGTGGGGAGTCAATGGGAGGGCGGGGTGTGATGGGGAGGAGGTTGGGTCCAGACCTCAAGTCTGGCTCCTCCTCTGGCCTTGTGAGCAGCTCAGGAGTCTCGCTTGGGCTGGATGGTCTGTACAGAAGATTCCCCAAAGGGACTGGCAGGGGGTGAGAACCATGACTGGCCTCTGACATCATGGAAAATGGGGGACAGCTGCTGCTCTGGGTCCTCCCCGAAGATCTCCACATGGCCATCCCCTTCAGTGTCCAAGGGCTCTGCCTTGGTGTCCTGGCTCAGACAGCCTGTTGAGGCCCAGAAGAGACAGATGGCCAGCAGGATCCCGGATGTTGAGCAGAGTGCTATGCCTGCCAGGCGGCAGGTGCCCAGGGCATGGTTGTAGTCAGCTGCTCGCTGGTCCAATACCAGAAACTCACCCTCACCGATGCCCTCCATCTTTGGGGGTACCGCATAGCCGGTGGTCAGGGCTGCCACACCCAGCAGCAGAAGCAGTGTCCCTAAGGACAGGGTGATCTGGGGAGAGGGAGACAGACAGAGGCAGGGGTAAGACAGGGGCCCTGGACCCCAACTGGACTTAAAGGGATCAAAACTGGAGAGGCAGGAACCATAGCATACTCCTGCTAGGTCTAACTGACCGGGAGCATAAACCGTTATGTTCTGTTTTGAATTTTTTTGTTCTTTTTTTGGGATGGTGTCTCACTGTTGCCCAGGCTGGTCTTGAACTCCTGGGCTCAAGGGATCCTCCCACCTCAGCCTCCAGAGCTCTGGAATAGCTGGGACTACAGGTGCACCTGACTGCCCTCAGCTCTATTTGGAATCTTGAGGCCTCTTAGCTAATTTCCTTCCAAGCTCCCTCCTAACAGTGGGTTTCTTTGCCAACCTTGAGTGCCCCTCCATCATTATTGGGTTCCAGCTCCTCCTCTTGTCCTTTCTACACTCTCTATGTTGGGACAACTCCTATGCATTGTCACATCTCATCTCAAACCTCACATCCTCAGGGAGAAGACCCCTGGACTGAGCCAGGTCCTCTGCTCTGCACGCTGCACAGACTTAGTGCCCATTGATTCTTCACTGTACTCACCTTGGTACACTCTTGTATTAGTATTTTGGTTACCATGTAAGTGATGTCTGCTTGTCCTATAAAACTGAGAATCCTATGAGAGCAGAGACTGGCCCTATTTTTGCTCACTAAGTGTCTTCTGTGCCTAGTATTGGCATAGAACAGAGGCTGAATAAATGTTTGCTGAATGACTAAATGAGCCCCAGAGAAATTCCTTAAAGACAGGGAACATGTCTTCTTCTTCTTCTTTTTTTTTTTTTTTTCTTTGAGACAGAGTGTCACTCTGTTGCCAGGTATAGAGTGCCATGGCCTCAGCTGAGCTTATAGCAACCTCAAATTCCCAGGCTCAAACAATCCTCTTGCCTCAACTTCCTGAGTAGCTGGGACTACAGGTCCCTGCCATGAAGCCCAGCTCATCTTTCTATTTTTAGTTGTGATGGGGTCTCACTTTGCTCAGGCTGGTCTTGAACTTTTCACCTCAAGTGATCCTCCTCCCTCAGCCTCCCAAAGTGCTAGGATTACAGGTGTGAGCCACCATGGCCCGTCAGGAACCATGTCCTCTTAAACTTTGTATCCCCAAGAGCATGGCATAGTGCCTGGTAATAAGATGCTTTGAATATTTATTTATTTCTTTATTTTTAAGAGGTGGAGTCTCTCTCTCTGTCACTTTGGCTGGAGTGCAATGGTGTGAACATAGTTCAGTGCAGCCTCACATGCTTGGGCTCAAGCAATCCTCCCACCTCAGCCTCCAAAGTAGCTGGGACTACAAGGGCTCACAACCACACCTGGCTACATATGTATACATGTATATATATTTTTTCTTTTTTTTTTCTTTGAGACACAGAGTCACATTTTGTCACCCTTGATAGAGTGCTGTGGCATCACAGCAAACTCAAACTCTTGGGCTCAAGTGATTCTCTTACCTCAGCCTCCTGAGTAGCTGGGATTACAGGAGCCCGCCACAATGCCCAGCTATTTTATATATGTGTGTATATATATGTATATATACATTCATCTTGGGTAGAGTGCCATGGCATCATAGCTCAGAGTAACCTAAAACTCTTGGTCTTGAGCAGTCCTCTTGCCTCAGCCTCCCAAGTAGCTGGAACTACAGGTGCCTGCCACGATGCACTGTTAGTTTCTCTATTTTTAGTAGAGATGGGTTCTTACTCTTGTTCAGGTTGGTCTCAAACTCCTGAGCTCAAGCAATTCACCTTGGCCTCCCAGAGTGCTAGGATTACAGGTGTGAGCCACACCTGGCTACATTTTTTTAAATTATTTTTCTTAAAGATGAGGTCTCACTACGTTCCCCAGGTTTGTCTTGAACTCCTGGCCTCAAGCAGTCTTCTTTCCTCAGCCTCTTGAGTCACTGAAATTACAGGCATGAGCTATTACACCCAGATGCTGCTTAAAACATTTTATTTTATTTATTTTTTTGAGAGTTTCACTTTGTTGCCCTCAGTAGAGTGCCATGGCACTGTAGCTCACAGCAACCTCAAACTCTTCGGCACAAGTGATCCTCTTGCCTTAGCATACTGAGTAGCTGGAACTACGGGCATCCACCATAACGCCCAGCTATTTTTTAAAACTTTATTTATTTATTTATTATTATCATCATTATTATTATTATTGTAGAGACAGAGTCTCTACAGTGTGCCATGGCATCACACAGCTCACAGCAACCTTCAACTCCTGGGCTTAGGCAATTCTCTTACTTCAGCCTCCTGAGTAGCTGGGACTACAGGTGCCCGCCACAACGCCCAGCTATTTTTTTGTTGTAATTTGGCCAGGGCAGGGTTTGAACCCGCCACCCTCGGTATATGGTGCCGCCCCCTATTTTTAGAGAAGGGGTCTTATTCTAGCTCAGGCTGGTCTCTAACTCCTTAGTTCAAGCAATCCACTCACCTCGCCCTCCCAGAATGCTAGGATTACAGGTATGAGCCACCGTGTCCAGCCATCTGCGTTTTTTTTTTTTTTTTTTTTTGAATCTGAAGTAAATACTGGGAGAAATGCTGACTTCCCTTGGATGGTGTGGAGTGAGGGTCTGAAGCCATTTAGAGAACACTTGCGAAGAGCCTGAGACTAATAGGCTCCAACAGTAGAGGACCATGAAGAGCTCACAGACTAAGAGAAACCTTGCACACTCCTCAGTGTAATGGCTTGAACTGTTGGATCAAACTTTGCTTGAAGGCACCAAACCTCTAGTCTCTTGTAAAAAATAAGGACTATTTTGCTTTTATTATTTATGCCCATTCAAATTTGGTTTTCTACTGTATGAACTTGCAAAACTCCCTACTACACTATCCCTTGCCTTTCTTTCCTCTGAGCCTTAAATTCAGTCCCATCTCCTTCACCAAGCCATAGGACTCAGAGGACTTCCTCCTCTGACTTTACCTTCCAGCACGTCAAGGGCCAGGATTGGTTGGGGCATAGGACTGGGGGTCCCTCGAGGTCATCGCTGAGAGCAGTGCCTGCACAGTCCTCATAGAAGAGGTGCAGATAAGAGCGGACCCCATACCACTTGCCATCCTCCACGTTGGGGCCATGGCTGCAGCTGCAGGAGCGATCACAGCTGGGCATCACAGATCCCTGTGGGGCAGACAAGGTGCAGGGGACAGAGAGAGGGGTCAGTGAGAGCTGCCCATGGTGACCCTCCCACCCCCCAGAATCTTTGTGATCTTTGTGCCTCACTTGCTTTTCCTGCCACTCTAGACACTTGAAACTCCCTGGGCAGCCTGGCCTTCTGGAATCCTGCTCCGTCTTATCTAAGTACACTGAATAAGCCTGCTTAGCCCAGTGTCAGTGTCAGTTAATGTGCGTGTTTACTCTGGAGGCCACCCAGTGGCTGGAGCTACCTGCTCTGGAACCTGACCACTTGGATTGGAATCCAAGGCCGGTCACTTTCTGGATGTGTGACCTTGGACAAGTGCTTTCACCTCTCCGAGCCTCAGTTTCTGCATCCGTAAAACAGGACTAATAATCATACCTGTTTCATACAATAATTATGTCTGGAGCTGAGAAATGGCAGATGTTGTGATTTTGACTATAGTTTTTTTTGTTAATTATTTTCATCCTGAACTTTTTGGGCGCCATGTCTGGAGTGAGAGATCTTCTTCCAATCCCTTAGAAATCTCACTCCCCTTCAGGACTCCTACTGGGGGTTATTGTTACGGCTGACACTTGTCCAGTCAGGCTGGAGTTTCCAAGCTGTAAACCTCTAAAAGTTCCATCCTCCAGGGCTACCCTTCATTAACCTCCAAAGTCCAGGGAATTTTTCTCCATGGGAGTGAAAATCAGAAACCCTCGGTATTAGGGGCTCTTAGACTTAGGACTTTTGAATTCCTGGAGAAATCTATTTAAGAAACCTCTTTTCACAAAAGGGGACACTGAGGTCTTGGGAATGGGGAGGTGGGTATTCACACACAGGTATGGCTAGTACCAAAGCCAGGGGCTGCTGGGGAGGGGCTGGGCTTCTGCGCCCGACTCCCAAGAAGGGCCCTCCCTCCTCTAAGCCCATTCAAACAAAACAAAACAACATGTCTAAAGGGTAAGACCCGGGCTTCTCTCAGTTCCAATCAGATAGGCCTTCAAATGCCTGCGCAGAGAGTCAGCCGCGCGCGCGGACACACTCAGCACAGAGTAACACACGCACACACACAAATAGCACAAAGAAGAACCACACAGAGAAATACCCAGATAGGCACACAATAGACAATCAGGCAAAACACACGTCAACACAGAGATACAGATACAGACACAGGCGTGCGCACACATACACACAGAGCTGGGGGTGCTTCTCCGTGACCTCGCAGAGCCGCACCGCGCACAAGATTACTGTCAATTAAAGCTGTCCATAAATCACCGCTGTCCACCGCCACCCACTTACAATTCAAGGAAAAGAAGAGGGGGCACAAAAGTAAAAATATATAAGAAGAAAAAAAAAAAAAAAAAAGAACTTGAGAGAGAACGAAAAAAGTAGAGACCAAAAGCGAAAGACCCAGAGGAAGAAGGAGCGAGAAAAGAGCTCCTGGAGCGGGGTGGGCGGGGCTCTTCGGGGGCGCGGCCAGCGCGGTGTCCACCCCCTGCTGAGGCTCTGGGGAGGTCTGATAGGGAGCGTGAACACGGGCCTGGGGGGCCATTGGAACCTCTTAATGAGAGAAGGTCTATTAATCTCTAATGCAGAGACCCTTAATTAAAGATCTCAGGTGAGGGGGCAGCGAGGGGGTTCAGGGACTGTTGGCCTGAGTCAGCTCCTCCCCTCCAATTCACTGCTCCCCCCGCCCTCAATATGTAGTCCCTCAATCCTGCCGGTATTGCAGAAGGAAGGTGACCTTGACTGTGCCTACCCCGCGGCCTAGGCCCTCCCCTCCATATTAATGTTGCAGGGAGAAGGACTAGCCGGCGGGGGGCAGCATGGGGAGGACAGGAAAAGGTCCTGAGGACCTGGAGCTGATACTCCGTACCGGGTTGCCATGGGAACCGCTAGGGAAGCGTCACTAGCCGGGAGAGGGGCGGAGCTTGGTGAGAAGGGAGCAGGAAGGAGGTGGGGGCTGCATTGTTCCGGGGGGAGACTGCGGCGTTGAAGCCGAGAGGAAGGAAGTGTATGCGAAGGTGAAGGGCGCAAGGACCCCAAGATGGATGGAATCTGCTGTCTTTGCACGTCCTCATTCAGTTCTTCCCAGACGCCCCTAGACCCGCCCCCTCCAGAGTCCGGAGTTGCCCTGGCGGGGAGAAGGGGCGCCCTCCTGGGGGGCAGGAAGCCAGGGAAATCAAGTCACCACCCCTCCGCCCCATTCCCCGCATCTCTCTTTCTGACTACCAGTGCCCTGGCCTAGAGGGAAACTGAGGCAGAGAGTAGAAATGAGTTTTTAATTAGAGGCGAAGGGACGATCTTGTCCTTTGCTGCCTCCGCCCAACCTATCAACCCTGAGGTGTGGAAAGGCAAGGGAGCTGTTGCCATCTCTGTTCCTTGCTACTTGCCTGGGACCCACCTCTTAAAGCCCAAGGCTCAGGTGCAGGCGTCCCGCCCAGGCTGGACACGGTCCGGGTTGGGGTTGCTGGCAGAGGGTGGGAGTTCTCCGGAAGGTGGGGGGAGGCAGGCGGCGCGTGGAGCTGGGCGAAGCTTGCCTCTCTGCCTGCTGTCTCCGCCGAGCAAGCGGGAACCGGAGCCCCAGCACAGCAAAAGCGGGTTCGGTTCGCGCCTGCGCCGCAGTTCCGGGCGGGGGGTGATGGGGGCGGGAGGAGGAGGGGGGCGCCGGCCGCCCCAGATACTGACTCTGCGGCCCCCTGCAGCTCTCCAGCTCCTATACCCTTCCAGAGTTTCCTTCTCTCTCTGAGATCCCAGCTCCCCCAAGGAGACCCCTCTGCCTACCTGGGCCCCACCTCCTCATGCAGTCCCTCAAACCAAATCAGTCAATTTCCCACACTTCTCATTTAAGACTCATACCCCCACTGAGTCTTCATCTCCTCACTGTATCTTCAGTCCCTTCTCTGGGCCTCCATCTCCCTCATGGAGCCCTTAGCTCAGAGTAGAAACCCACATCTCCTTGCTGAGCCCCCACCCCGTTGACTGAGTCCCAGCGCGCGCGCTCTCTCTCTCTCTCTCTCTCTCTCTCTCCTCACCCATCCTTGAGCTCTCCTCTCTCAAGGGACCCTTACTAGAGAGTCCCCTCCCACTTGCATCAGGAGCCCTTCCTCTCTCACTGAAGCCCCCATCTTCTCTCCATCCTCTTCCCCTTTAAGTACCTACCCTTTGTTAGGATCAGTCTTGCTTCCCTTGAGAAGGGAGTTGGGGTAGGAGATGGGGCATTGGATACAAGTGACTTACTCTTTACCCTTTGGATGGAGACAGTGGAACTGCCTTCCTTTTCTCTCTCCCAGTCTATTCCTAGTTCTTCCCTGGGCAGTGTGTGCCAGGCCTCAGTGTCCACTTCATGCCTATAATGTGCTCCTAGCCTTGGTTTTGTCCCCCATTTGCTGGTGGTCTTGGGAAAGTCATTGTACCTCTTTGAACTTCATCAGGCACCATTGCACAAACACGCCTTTATGCCTTGAGAATCCATTGTGTTGGCTCAGCGCCTGTAGCTCAAGTGGCTAAGGCGCCGGCCATATACACCTAAGGTGGTGGGTTCAAATCCAGCCTGGGCCCGCCAAACAACAATGACGGCTGCAACCAAAAAATAGCCAGGCATTGTGGCGGGCTACTTGGGAGGCTGAGGCAGGAGACTCGCTTGAGCCCAGGAGTTGGAGGTTGTTGTGAGCTGTGAAGCCACGGCACTCTACCCAGGGGGACAGCTTGAAGCTCTGTCTCAAAAAAAAAAAGAATCCATTGTGTTTGACCTCGTGCCAGGGGCTGGGGACAGAGGGATGAATGAGCTCTGCAAGATAGGGCCACGTCTTTCTTGTTCACTGTTGTATCTGGGAACCTCACAGTGTTTGACTGAGTAGGCAGCTCAAGAATATTTACTGAACACAGACTAATAGTAGTAGCAAACATGTGATGTTCATTATGTGCAAAGGGCTTACTTAGTGCTTTCTATATACTCCTTACTCATTTAACTGTGTGTGGGGGGGGTTAAGGGTGAAAGGTGGGAGGAATTTCTGCAACTCAAAACTGAAGGTCCTGAATGGTGACAGAATATGGCCTTGGAGAGGCAGGCAGAAATGAAGCCCTGCAGGGCCTTGTAGACCAAGGCAAGGAATTTGGGCTTCAATCCAAGAGTAGTAGGGGGGCCATGAAGGCGATGTTAACCAGTTTGATGAAAATATTTTAAATTGTATATAAAACCAACTCATTGTACCCCAAGACTGCATTAGTGTACACAGCTATGACTTAATAAAAAAGAGTAGTAGGAGGCCACGGAAGGGTTGTAGAGAGGGAAGGGATGTGATCTGATTGGCAATCTGAAAAGGTCCCTCTGGCTGCTATCAGGAGAATAGAATGGAGAGCACAAGAGTGGCAGCAAGAGACCAGTGAGGATGCTCAGGATCAGAGATGATGGTGTCTTGACCTTATGCTGAGAAATGAATTGATTCAAGAGATGTTAGGGTGTAAAATGAACTACAGGAACAGCACAAGATTGGAAATAACCTTTGATGGTTTTAACACACAGCTGAAAATTCTGTAGCACTCCTCTGTACCATAGTAGGATCCTTGTATCCTCTCTTTGAATCTTGGGTGAGCTGATGACTGCTTCAACCAACAGAGTGTGGTGGGAGTGATACTCTGATTTCCCAGGCTAGGACTTAAAAAGATGTGAAACTGCCCCCTGACACTCTAGCCCTTGGAGCCCTGAGGCACCATGCAGGAATGGCACCATGGCATACCTTGAGGCTGCCACATGAGGAAGCTAAGACCACAGGGAGAGGCCAGATGAAAGTACCACAGCCCTAGTGGAGCTTAGTCTTTGATCATCCCACTTCAGGCATCAAACAAGTGAATGAAGAAGCAACCAGATGATTCCAGTCTCCAGCCATTCAATTCAGCTTCAGCCTTCAAGCCTTCAGGTCTTTAAGTCTTCCAAGCTGAAGATTCAAACATTGAGCAGAGACAAGCTGACCCCACTATGCCCTCCCTGCCTGAATCTCTGACA